CTATTTAATAATCTGACAACAGCGTCCTCCTTGCCGCTTTAATAAAACACTGACGAGGTCCAAAAATACCAGTGTAAAATAGAATATATTCATAATTCTAAAATTTGCAAAAAATAAAACTTACACAGAAAAAACAGCACTGTTAAACTATCAAAGGCTAAGCAGCAAAATTTTTTAAAGACAGAAAATTTTACCATGACATTCTGCTAGATTTTCGATCCCATTAATAAGAATTTAAAGTTACGTCTCCCAAAGCTCTTATTTCCTTTCTAAATAGTTACTTTACATGGTTTTTCCCATAGCTAAAACGGCCACCGCGGATGGCGTTTACGACCACAGTAAACAACGTACAACAGATACACTGCCATGAAACAAAAAGACGGCGTCTTAGACATTAAAATACGAGCTAAACGCACCTCCGTTGAAAGCAAGCAGAAAATTAACTGAAATTATACACAATAACAGAAGAGGATTTTAAAAAATATACAGGAGTATATCAAGAGCTTACCGATCATACAACTGGTTACCCAATTAACAAAAAAAAAGCTTTTCGAAATCTCAATGAAATACACTGATATAAAATTTAACCGACAGTGCTTGAAATGTTCGAAAGCCTTAATAAATCTATGTGTCACTAATTGTTCAAAAAAAAAAAGTATAAAAAAAGTGTACAAATTATGAAAAATTGGCAAAGCTAGCAAACGTTGAAAGATAACAAGCAAAAACAATATGAATATATCACAACGTTCCTTTTAATACAATAAGACAGAAGCTATTAGCTGCTTATAAAAGCAGCCTATTTAATTTAGCAACAAAATTGGTATTAGCTTTGCAAAATTGGAGAAAAGTGAAAAAAAGGTAGTCACACTATACATATATAATAATATTCTTGTAATAAACGAAAAAGATTAAAAAGCTTATTCCAGATATACAGAAACAATTCGCATCATATGATGCCAAATTTTACCACATTTTAGTGATAATGCCACAATTGTGTAGCACATCAAACTGGGCTAGAAAGTAATAAAAAATTAAGAAAGCACAGTGAATTCAACAAATAAATTTTTAAAAGCATTAAAATACTTTAACGTCAATTACCTCAATTTAGACTTACAATGTTCACTCAATAACCAAAAAACCAAATTTTTCTTTGACTTTTTCTGAAGATATACAGCCTCCCCTACTGAAACACCAAACACCAAAAATAAAAAATAAAAAGAAAAAAATAAAGACACAAAAATCAAAAAAGAAAATAGAATGCACTAGCAAAAAAAGTAGTGGACTAAACGTCTAAACTTAGCACAAAATTAAGACTAGAGTCAATGCTCGCAGTTCAAATAGCTATAGCACGCGCTTACAAACTTCAAAAAGCGTTCGTTGAAATAAAATGCTGCATCGGCTCGTTTGAATGGTTGTGGTTTTCGTTTTCCACTACAGCATCATCATTTTCTTGTGCATCCATTTCGTCATCAAATCGGTGATCATCTGCATCCGGTTTGAAACTTCTATTTTGCTTGAGATCCAATTCGCCGATCACCTCACCTTTTTCATTTTCCCTGTGCTTCGGCAACTCTAATTCTCGAACATTTAAAATTTCTGGCGTTGCAGATGCAGCCCCTAAAGCGGCCAAAAATGGCAAAATATGAAACTATTGGAATGAAAAACCTCGAATGACTCTTAAAAGCCTTACGTGATTTGGATAAAAAAGTAGACAAAAGATTGCAAATTTCTGCAAATTTAAGTTTGCTGGTGCAGCCAATAAGCAAAAAATAAATAAATAAATACCTGTCATGGCCTGACTTATTATTTGACTCATATGTTGACTCAGAAGGTTTTGGGCCATCATATCAGCCATAAAATTTCCGCCAGGCATTGCGATTCCAGAACCCGAAATAGTCCCTGAACATAAAAAAAAAGTCGGCACAATTTGTGAGACACGGTAACTATCGATAATTGAATCAATGTGAAACAGGCATTGACATACTTGACATATTTGAAATTGTCCCAGCAGGAAGGCCAAGTTCAATTTCTTTCTGACGTTCGCTTATTCTCGTAACTAGTTTCATCGCCCAAGTTAACTTTAATTTTATTTGACCACCATGTTCCTCTAGTAATCCTGGAGCTTTTTCAAGGATGTAGTCACGCGCAATAGACAAAGCCTGAGAAGCGGTTAAATGGCCACGCGGATCAGACTGCTTGACCTTAAAAT